TTGATTTAACTGTTTCAATCTGTATGCATCGCTAAAGCTGTACACACATACATCTTTGCTAGTTTCACCTTTGCCATACGAGAGAATAAGAAGACTAAATATTTGTATATATTATCTATCAATATATTTTTTTAATATTTATATTATATTCATGGCCCTTTGAAAAACCACTGTTAGGTGAAACCCTCTACACACAACCTTTTAGTCATTGAGATGTATGGCTATACTTTACCACGCTGGTCAGTGAAGTGTTAGGGGGGTTCGGGAACAATTCACATTGAGTTCGCTAATGATGTTAGCCATGGTTGGAAATCAAACTCAGGTCGTCTGGTTCACGGTGCAGTGCGTTAACCATTGCACCACAGCTCCTATTAAGACAAATCCCGAACGCTGCACCTGCATAGCGCTTTGAGGGCTTGCATGCAATATATGTAATCTGGAAAGTCCCAAGAAATAAGTGTGTAATTATGCACCCATCAATACATTTAATATACTTCATTATTCTCAGACACTATTTGTGTTATATTTGCATTATTTATGGTAATTTTTACGTTGCTATTTGACATTGCAACTCCATAGTAGACTGTTGCGATGAAGTGGTGGCACAGTGTTGAGCACACTGGCCGATGAACGTAGCCATGTAAGTTGGATTTCTGGCCATGGGTATCAGTGGTGAGTGATATCTGCACAGACCTGAGAGCCCCCTACTTCAAACCCCCCCTGCCCCCCCCCAAACCAAGTGTGACGAGGTCCTCATCCAGCAATGGATTGACTAAGAGCTGTAGATTACATAACAAATAACAGGATATACACGAACGTATTGTCTTGTCTGTTTAGGTGATATTACCAAAAAACAGCCCCGGACGTACGATTGAACGGGCATTGTGCTTTAAATTTATACTCAAGCTGCATACAAAGCATCACAATGGACTGGTCTCTTCCATCTTGCTCGGAAAAGATAAACGAAGCGTGAATTGTGTGTGCTTGTTGACGACAAAGGGGATTCTTGGAATCCAAATAAAAAAATATTTCCGTGTTATATATATTATTGTGAATGTTTACACTCTGCACATATCATTTGGCCTAATTGGGCAATGACATGATCGCGCAGGTCAGAGGTGAAGGTTGGGGGTATGTGTGGAGTCTGAAAGCGGGGAATCAAATGTATGTGTGCATTCACCCCACACGCTGGGTGCTCTGATACACCCTAATTAAGCATGATGAAGGTGAAACAGTGTGTTTTAGTTGTACAGTTATGCTTATGCATTAAAACTTTTTTCTCCAAGCCCCGTGTGCAATTAAAGCAGGACGCTGCAAGAGAAAAACTGGAAGTTTCGGCGTCTGCCTCGATTCACGTGAAAATTGCCCAAAAAAATGATTATCCTCGCAAACATGTGCACCGTGATAAAGCGTGCGCACCCTTTTTGTCGGTGGGAAATTACAAAATAATTAGGGAAGCGACATAATTATGGTTTTGTTTGACATCAGGTCACATTTCAATCTGATATGACGGAAAGTTCATGTGTTTTAGTTTTTCTTAGAAAGGTGCCCAAAGAAATCTCTCATTACAACTGTCTACTGATCTAAATAAAAATGTCCATATTTTTTGACACTGTATATCAGGAAAAAACATTTACATGGCATACGCACAACTCCAACTAAATTTAATTATTATCCCACCGTGAAAATATTTCACAATCACCCAGCAAAAATTGGGGATTACTTTTTTTATTAATGGAATTCCTGTGATGGTGCACACTGTAAAGGGGGTTTAAATGGCTTGCCAATGCCCTCCCCTTGTCTGTCAACCCTGCTCTATATTTGCAAACAGCTGCCCTGAGGGGTATTTATAGCTAATTCATTTTCCACTAACGGCAAAGGGCTGTTCTGCCTTCCGCAACTGTGGCCAGTGAAGAAAAGCGACATTCGGTAAAGTGGCTCATTGCGTCAAAGCGCACGCCCGAGACCAACCTGTCAACTCTCCTTTCCCACTGAATGCAATCTCAGCGGCCATTTTTTTTGCAAGGTGGATTCACTCTATTGGCTCGGGTTAGGCCACCTGATCACGAATGTGGTTGGATTGGTGTGCATCTCATTTATTCTATAAATTGGCAAAATGATGAGCCTTTGTTCACTTTCTTGTACTGGCTCATTTATAATTCATGAGTTCTGGCAGTAATTGCAGCACATAATTATAGCATGAGACAGGCATTACAAAACAAGCTGTAGTTGGAATGTTTTACTGCGTGTATATTTTTTCGTCTCGTACACTCTGTAAATGTTGTATAAACAATAAGCAGTGAATTATATTCTGCTGTGGATGCACACATCATAAATATGTTTAAAAGTACACAGCTAGATTATTGTAAACTGTATTAAGTGGTAACCGGTGTCTACCCATATTTCATAGTATTTGGATATCAGATCAAGCCATCTTTATCTATAGAACAAATGTTCACACAGCTGAATATAACTATCAAGTACAACGTGACTAAACTTGTTTGCAACACTTAATCACGCATTATTTATAACCTACGTTCATCACATTGTAACACACTGCATACACTCCTCATTGAGTTCTATAGTTATTCAGCAGCAAATTGATAATCCACAGCATCAATCATGGGGGTTGCTTGGCCATACTTCACCACATTGGTCAGTGTGGGTTGGTGAAAGAGGGAAAGGGGGGCTTAGAACCAATTCAGGTATCGCCACTGACGTTAGCTTTGGCCGAAAATTCATACTCGGGTCACGGGGTTCATCGTGCAGGGCACGAACCACTGTGCTTGCCGCTCCTCACTCATACTTACCTGCCACTCACGGAATGTTTTATCTGATTATGGAAACCATTATCACAAGTAGTGGCAGCAATAGTATATTATTATCATTTTAAACTAGTGACCCGCTTTGTGCCTGGCAACATTCATGTATGTATCTGCCTGTTTCTTTGCAATGCCTTCGTGGGACTGTCAGAGTTTTAGTCATTTCCATTGAATGTTATTTATTGTTTATAATCTATATTACTACCAGTAACGCAAAAAAAAAAACAAAGCAATTACATACTTGGCAGTTTCTCTCATTTGACGTTGTAAATAACTTGATGTCACCAATAGTGTTGCCATGTATTCCGAGCTCTTGGTAAACATGCATTCCTAAATTTAATACGAATGGACATACATACTGAGCATGAACCATCATGCAAACTCCGCTCTTCCTTGCAGCGGCTTTTGGCTGGACATCGAACAAAGACGGCCACTGCGTCGCACGCTTTCAGCTATGCACATTTAAATAATAATTAGATTGAATAATTTTCTTTGGAACTGATTTTTGTGTTTAGTTTGTCGTGCTTCCTCTGAACCTCCGATTAATCGCGGTTGGCCACGTATGGTGCGAAAGACGTTCAACATACATACATACATACTGTGTGTCTGGTAGAGTACCGATTATAACATTTGCAGGCAAACGCCAGACACAGCACATCCACCTACAAGGACAGACAGACAATAGTTAGTCTCAACGCTTCTCTGGATGAACTATCGGCATATCTGCAGGATAAATGGTAGTTCAGGCCTATGTAATGTTGGCTTGTGTAGATCAAAGATAGTTCCAGCTGTGACTGTGGAGCGGAAACAAACAATGGGGCACACAGTCAACTGCTGCCCATCAAAACCATTCAATATTAACACCAAAGCAATTCTCCAGCTTACAACCGACACTGTCGAACGGTTAAAGAAAGTAGACATCAATTTTTTTTGTACGTGTTTTTGCTGTTCCAAAAATAAGTTGCTTATCCCTACAGCATGCCAAACGAAATAAGGGGAGCGCATTGTGCGTGACTGCCATCTTCACACATCATGTTATGACGATATATTTCTTAGTCATACATCCAGAGCCGTATTTTCAGTGCTACGTGCGTGTCGGTGTGAGCTTGGATTAGCGGTAATGCAGCGGTTAGTGCACTGCGCTACGAACCCAGCGACCCGAGTTGGATTCCCGCTCAAGACGAACACCAGTGACGGTGCACAGCCTCCCCTAGGTCGACTCAGCCTCAAATGAGTGGCGATATTTGCGGTGTGCAAATATCGCCACGAGGGAGACAAAGGCGACCGGGCGTCGTGCCGGCCACCCATCCCGTCGTGCGTCGTGCCGGCCTTAATAGGTGCTCGCTAACGGTCTGTTAAGGCTATCCGGATGATCTTTGTCTTAGTTTTGGGCTCGGGTTAGGAAAACTATACCATTGTTTTCTTGAAGCAATTATCAAGGGGGTGCAATGGAGGGAGGGAGGGAGGGGGGGTGTGAGCTGGGATGTGAATCTCGTCAGCCTGGCCGTAGTAAAATGGGCAGAATCTCGTGTAGCTACACAACCACACTACATTTTGTCCTGCGTCAAGATTTGTGTAGTAGGGGGGTGGCGAATTGCAGTCTGATTTCACGTGGCGGGGGGGGGGGAGCACCTTATATTGAGTGCAGTCCGTGAGATGTGTCTTGTAATTATTTAAAATTACACCGACTGTGTGAAATTGTATTGCGTAGGACTACTGCTAGACTAAGAAGAAGGCTGGGCATTTGGAATTTTTTTTTACACGCGTAATATTGAATTAAATGCATTCAGCATTTACTGCTCCCTTTTCAAGATGGAAAGCTTTGCGTAAATGTTTTTTTTTAACAGAGTGATTCGCATTTTATAGTTAGAGCATTTCACGCTGGTGAGGTACTTATTTTCAAGAAAATGTGAGACTTAAACACCTGTACGAGTTTAGTCTGAAATTGAACAATTCCCACACAATTGTTACATTCTGAAAATACTTTACATGTTAACGTGCATGCATTTTCTTTACTTTTCATCACGTTCAAACCATAAAAGCACGGTGGTCCTCCTAACTCTTTGCTTGAACAGTGCGGAGTTTTGTTCGCGGGGGTGGGGGGGATGTTTCTTGTTTCTTTCTTTCTTCAATGTGGCCTGCATTAAATGTATTTTTTAATGCTCGTTGTGTTGTCAGCAGGGGGCGCTCTTCCTCTTCCTGAGCTGTGGCTCACACACAGAGCCAGTGTGGGGGGTTTCACAGATCGCACTAAAAGCACGTGTGTGGTTCAAGTACACAGAGACGGATCAATTCAAATGACGGCGTTTTTACTGCTGCTGCTGCTGCTGCGGACAGAACGAAATGGTTTGTTTCTCACTTCGCATTGATCTAGCACGTATGAATTAACACTTTAAATTTGCATAGCTTTTTTTTTCCTGCCACGTTAACAGTACGCTCAACAGGTACACCTACACCCATGTCGTTACATTGTGAAGTTTACTACATTGTTATTTAGTAGATTTATATTATTATTGTTGTTGTTACTGGGAAGGTGAATGCTTGTGGCCTGGCAGCTGCAAGGGGCTGCTATAAAAAGAGAAGCCGCATTTTATTTGGCATTGACGGTGGGATTATTGGAACGGCTGTTTTCCACTGACGATACCAAAACTTGAGACGCGGGCTATCGGGTACCGGGCCTGGGCAGGCGCTGTCGAAAGAGGCTGCGACACGCTGGCTAAGCCTGCAGATTTAATTGAGATTTTCAGAGTGAATTCCAGAGCTCAAGTTTGGCAGGGTCCTGTGTGTGTGTGTGCACAAGCGGGCGGGCCAGCGAGGGGCAGCCGGCAATGAAAAATGCCAGACCAACTCATGACAAAGCTGGCTTTGGTGCCACTTAATGCGCTTATTACCAATGCACGGCGCCTTTATTATAGTTTATAATTTGTGCTTTGTTAGCCTTTGTAACCTTTGCTTTATCTAAAGGCTGTTTGATAATTTTTCCCTCAAAGTATTTTTGATCCCAATGCCCTTTTAGTTTTAATTACAGTCATTTGTGTTTTTTCTCTGCACGTTTGGGGAAAAAAAAATACCACATTAAACATTTCTACTTTGTACTTGGAATAAACTTCCATTAATAAATTATATCGGTGGCTCTAAAGCTGAACAGGCTGACAATATGCCTAAATGTAAGCACAATCCTGATGTGTTTTTAAATGGGCATCAGGAAAGGGTGTCAAATTTGAAAACGCAAGGTTTATAAATAAAGTTGAAATGAGGTGAGCACTTTATAATGGTTCTTTGAGAGAAAATAATTTAATTTAATCGAATGCACATCAATATTCATTAAATGCTGACAGTATGAATTAAACAGACATACATTAGTACAACACAGTGTTCGAGATCAATATTGAATGCTTAAGTAATAGAAAAATGTTAGGAACACAAGCACACAATTCGGTGTGCCAGAATTACCTTTTGTACATAAAATCAATACAAAGAAAAATGTGCAAGCAATATACCATAAATAAATGGGAATTAATTTTGTTTAATAATAGCTGCAATGGATTACCATGAACATCGCAAATTACATGTCAATGTCCCAATCAGACTTTTTGTCAGCTTCGGTTCTGCTTTATTAATTGCGCCGTCCGCGTTCACAATAAATGAAGCGTAGTTTTGTGTGTGTGTGTGTGTGCGTGTGTGTGCGTGCGTGTGCGTGCGTGCGTGTGCGTGCGTGTGCGTGTGTGTGTGCGTGTGTGTGTGCGCGCGTGTGTGTGTGTGTGTGCGCGTGTGTGTGCGTATGCCTCCTTGTTCTCTCCTCTAGATTTGGGGGCGGCGCGATTCCTGGCCCTTTCCCTGTTTATCCGGCAGCCCACAACGAGCGGCCGGGGAGAGCTGAGAGAACGCAGAGCAGGAAATGAATAGCGACCTTCGCCGGGGCTGTCCCTGCCAAGTCCACGCTTCCTCATCTCATTTACTGTCTCTCTGGCCGCCATGTGACAGCGCCGAATAAACCTGGAGAAGGGGAGAAAACAACAACAACAACAACAACACTTCGACTTCCTCAGTAGAAGCACGAGTGAGGGGTGATTGCTTGGAGCCTCTGATTCCGATTCTTTTCCACACACCCCACTGCCATCCCCTGAGAAAGAGCTGGGGCCCTGCCCCCCCCCCCCCCCGCCCAACTCCAATCCCCCCCCCATTGAAAGTTTTCTGGCTCTCTGTGGGTGCAGCAACATTGACCAGCCTGTGTGCGCAATCCCAAAGCAGTTCCAAACGTCAATTGTGTCCGTGCGGTGTGATCTACTCTCGATTTGCACACGCAATTCGTGCGGCAATGTCGGACGTTCAATGGTATTATGCGTGGCCTATGTTTTTCAGAAATGGTGATTTTCAATAAATCAAAATGTCATAATACAAATTGAAAATGCTATCATGGTGTTTGCCCACGTGTAAATGTTGCACTGCATATGAAGACATCGCGTATTCAACATTTCAAACAATAGATATTGCCTTACTGTGATCTTTACATGTGTATTACTTTTATCGATCACAAAGCCTGAATGCCGTTCGAATTTCTGCCAACCGTGCCAGGTTTTGTGCGAAGGTTTGTTGATGCTTATTCTGTGCACCTCTCAAACTTTGTTTTGGTCAGCATCGGGCAAAGCATCATTTATGGAGATTCGCAGTCCTCATGGTTGTGATGTTGAAATATGCCTCTAACGTTGTTTTTAACAGAGCCCAATGAGGATAAATAAACGCTATCTCTAACTCTCCACACCAAACACATCTGACCTAACAGCAAGTCAAATGGTATCATAGGAAATGTCAGCATTCTGTTAGGTTTATGTAACTTGCTTCAAACTGATAATTAGCAGACCCTGATAATTCTCATGGGTACCAATTAATGATAATTAAAAGGGAACACTATGGGTATGAATATGATTCATTTACACCCCCCCCCCCCCCTGTCCCCTCCCCTCCCTTCTGGAAGGTCAGTTCGCCAGAATGCCACGCATTTTCTTTCCCTCTACGTATACGTTTTTTTTATTTCATACAAGCTACGTATGATTGCAAACACAACAACAATTAAAGAGTGTACAGAGGGCGATCAATATATAGACACCCCACTTAAATAAATTATTGTTAGAGAGAAAACAACGTTTACATCGAAAGCCTCGACTTCGCTATCTCCAATCTCAACGCTGGACGCTTATTAAATATTTCAAAATTTCCCGTGAAACACTTTGCCCGACATCCCTTTTGCAATATTCAATCACCTGTTGAGAAGGAAATGAGAGGGTAACTGGAAATCGGTGGGGTATCCGTAAATGGATCACCTCTTACTCCATACGCTCATTATACAGCTGGGAGTAAATTAAATACATTCTCTGTTGACACTGGGTGTAATCTACACGTGTCAAGTTCATTGCACTGCACGCGTTTTATTTCTCGAATAATAAAGTTGAAAGTGCCCAATGCAAATTGACCCCAAGTACAGTACACTGATATTGCGTTGCGTCGTGAATCAGCGACAAATTATTTCGTCTTTGCCGTCTGAGCGATGCGGCATCAACGCAACGCACGCGGCCAACGCAACGAGATCAGCCACACACGAACACGCAACATCAACATCTGCTGGCGACGTCAAGATCGAGAGGCGTCCGAGTGTTTTTCCTTTTCCTCTTGGCCTGCAGCGAGGTTGTGACCACTGCGATGCGTAAGCGAAGCGACTTGGCCCGACGTGCCGCTATGTAGCTTTGACCCCGTGTGCATATGTGGGAGACTTTGCTCTGAGTAAGCGGCTGCCTTTGGCAAGTTCTCTTTATTGTTTATATATAAAATGCGCGCTGCTGCTGCTGCTTTAACACAAAAAATAGACCGTCCAACACTTGACAAGCAACGAGCCCGGGGTTAATGCTGTGTTTCCCTGCGCGACGATAGGACACGTGCGCTCAGCAATAAATGTGTTGCCTTCACCGCTCTCGATGTCAATAAAAGCAGAGTGTACGCGGGGCAGATCAGATTTACTAACTGTTGTCTAGAATTAGGTTTAAGAGGCTGTGACCTGATTACATCGGATATTTATGTACGCTGCGTGTTTTAGTGCTTTGCCGCCTGTAGAGCTGTGTTTTATTTCCCTATGTCTGTTTTAATTGTTGAACATAGAAAAAAATAAACTTGCTGGGTAGAATATACCAATATCATGTTCTGTATCGTTTGAAAATAATCAAGGTTTATTATACAGTTTACTAATGAAAGATTCACAGAGTAAAACATAAACTTTTAGGAAACAGCAGGTGTGGCAATGAATTCATCATCGCACAATGGCAACACATTACGGCGCTGTGCTGTATGTTGAACTTCTTTCGCGCCGTACGTAGCCAACCGTGCTAATCGGAAGTGCGGTGGGAAGGAAAACAAAACTGAACACAAAAATCAGTTCTCAAGAATTTTGTTTTCAATTTAGGTTTATAAGTGCATAGCTCCAGTGGCTTCCTCATATCGGAAGGAAGAGCATTCCAGACGGCCGCAGAAGCGCATCTGAAGGCGCGCGATGTGGTGACCACCGTCTTTGTTCGATGGTTAGCCAAAAGCCGCTGCGAGGATGACCGGAGTGAGTGCTCTGCGTTGTGTCACTTATTCTCTGTAGAAGTTTTATTTGTATTACTCTTTGGTTCTTTCGGTAAAGTCACGTAGGTAGAAAAATAATAGATCACGACGTTTCGATCGCAACACAAGCAATCGTCATCAGGTGGGACAACCACAGCAAGAAAAAACTGCTGACATAGGCGAGAGAGATCTGCCGTGGCACGAGGTTATATAGGCCACAAGAGGTGGAAGTTACTCGCAAATAAGCAATGGAGGGGAACTTTAAAATGTGGACAATGTTTATTAGCTCACACACACACACGTGCGCGGTGGTTTACTTTTGTCCCCCAATAATACCAAAAGGAAGTATCAACAAATAGAATGTGTTTACAATATTTAGTTTCTCATGTGCCTGGCTTTAAATGAAGCTCCATTGGATGGCTATACATTATTTTCTATTCTAAATAGAGTATGTGAAGAGAATGCAATACAGTACCCACCAATACTTGGGTGCTTGCTTTCAAACAATGACATTGGGACATGATTAGAAATATCTCATGACGCATTCGCCATATTCACTGTGTACGTCAGACAGTGCCATCTTCGCAGCTGGTAAGGCTCCCTCTCGCTGTGGGCTCGGCTCGGCTGTGGCGATTTGCGAGAGCATGGCACAGCAGTCGGCACTCAGTGGCACACTCATTATAACTCTGACCACTGTTTAAGTACAACGGCACTTTTATTCACTTATGAAGGTTTTTTTTTCAATAGCCAACTTTATTTCTATTTAGCAAAAAATCCAAAGCTTCTTCTTTAAATATCGTTATCGATAGTTGTATCTGAGATGGCGACAACACAATTCCAGCTTTTTTTATACTGTTGTTTACCCTTTGTCGTGTTTCAATAGCTATCGTTATTCAATATACCTTTCCACCGTCATATTTTGCCTCTTAGTCTGGAAATCAGGGTTGGGGTGGGGACTATAAAAGGAAAGAACATTCTTTGTTCATGCTTGAAGCTAGGGCTATTTTCTTTCTCCTTGGTTTGCCCAGTGTTCTGTATTCTGTCGCAGCTGTTGACATAAAAGCAGCACCGGCAGCTTTGTTGGTAGGCAGGCCAGACAAGTGGCAGCAAAAACATTTTGTTCAATCAGAAAACTGCATTACAGCGTGTATGCGATATTACCTGGAGACACGGGAATATTGCTTACAAAGTGCTCCCATTGGGATGATATGCATGCAGGGAAAGCAACATCACAAAAAAACGGAACACACAACGACTGTCTAGAAAAGTCACGAGAACAATGCGCAAACTACTCTCTCGATCTCGGCAATAGCAAGTATTGAAAGTGAAACTTTCACTTCAGATGAAGGTGTGGATTACTTTTCACATAGTGACTGCCACCTTTTTTTACGTTCGCAAAATACGAGCAAATTGAAACTGAAAATGTAACATTTGCAATTGCATTTATAATGCTATCCGTTCAATATAGTTTTTCGGTTTGCGTTTTTTTTCTCGCTCTTAGCAAACAAATTGTGAAGCGTTATTATCTGCATTGTTAAGCTGAAAATAGCCGTGGTATTCAACAAGTCGACACCAGAGCACTTTGAGCAGTGGAGAACGTGGGAGGCATCGTAAACATTTAACTTTCATCAAAGGATGTGAAACGTATTGTTTACAACTTGCCATTGCAGACTTTCCATGTCTGTGAAAGCTGTTTGAAGAATAATGAATAAAAGCTAACCCATTTTTTAAAGCACTATATGTAACTATGCAACAAGCTCCGTTAAACCGCCCGTGCATTGCAGAGCTCGAAGGGCAATTGCCATGATGTTCAGCGACAATTTGCGCCTCGCGTCAATAGGAATATAATGAAGGTTTCATATTCTTGGTTCTTTCGGTAAAGTCACGTAGAAGGGAAACAATAAAATAATAAAAATATAAAACAATAAAATTCTCACGACGTAAGAATTTTATTGTTTTATATAATTCTTACGTCGTAAGAATTTTATTGTTTTATATTTACGTCGTAAGAATTTTATTGTTTTATATTTTTATTGTTTCCCTTCTACGTGACTTTACCGAAGGAACCAAGAATATGAATCCCTGCGGTCACGAAAGCTTTAAATAAAAAAAATGAAGGTTTCGTTGAAAGTCGACTCGGAGTTTATTGGCAGGAGTGTTTAAACATGTAAAGTTTAGGGAAAGGCGTAATAATGCAACATTACTGAATGATTTGAAGCTACTGGATAGAGAAATAAAGTCCTTTATTCAATTTAACACGTAGGCTGTCGCGACCAATATCATCCATAATATAGGTTTTTGGGTTAGATCGCGAAAATATAAATGTGTCGTTAAACGCGCCACCACCCGACACAGCCAATTAGTAAGGGTTGTCACATAAACAGAACGTGCCGATTCGTTACTAGTACAGTTCCTTAAGGAACGAAACAGGAGGATATCTCCTCAAATCTGGCTGTTGCCTGATGATGCTAGTTGTAATTACTGGCGAAACGTCGTACTCAGATTGGAAATGTTGTGGATTTGCTCTTCAACACACAACGGTGTGCTGTACTAGTAACGAATTGGCATGTTCTGTTTAAAGGTGACAAACCTCACTGATTGGCTGTGTCGGGTAGTGGCGGGTTTAACGACACATTTATACTGACGCGATCTAGCAAAAAAAAACCTATATTATCTTTATTCAAATAGAACAAATACAGCTTTTGTGCGTAAATGCCTGAAGCTCCCCCCAATTTTGATTTTACTTTGGGGAAAATAAAATCATATACGGACATAATTAGCGATACAAAATTGTTTTTAGTTAAGATTGTTCAATCTTTTAAAAAAATGTGAGGCAAACTAATTTTAGGTTATGCACTGTTGGTTGTTTTTTTCGTGATCATTTATGGGCAGTAGCTTAATGAGATTCATAACGGGTATGAGTAGAAATTTTGACTTCAAACTTTCGTGACTGCAGGAATTCATATTCTTTAGTTCTTTCGGTAAAGTCACGTAAACAGAAAAATAATAAATAATTTGCGCATATTTGTATTATTATTTTTCTATTTACGTGACTTTACAGAAAAAAAAACTAAAAATAGGATATCAGTAGATTGCCATTTTTAGATGTTTTAATCTGTTGTACACATTATTTGGGCAACGTTGATTATATCTCCAAAAAATTTGATTTAAATCTTTTTATGACTGCAGTGATTCATATTCTTGTTTCTTTCGGTAAAGTCACGTTGAAGGGAAACAATAAAATAATAAAAAATATATCAAACAATAAAATTCTCACAACGTTTCGACTGCAACACAAGCAGTCATCATCAGGTGTGAAAACCAACGGCAAGAACATTTCAAATGTTCATTTCAAATGAACATTGTTTTTATTGTTATATATATTATTATTTTATTGTTTCCCTTCAACGTGACTTTACCGAAAGAACCAAGAATATAATATCTCCATACTGCAGACATTGTACTGTCGGGTAATTTTTACAGACACTTTGCAAAAGCAGAGACGAAAGAATATGCGAGTGATGTGGTTTGCAGTGTATATTTCAGACCCTCATTGACATCAATTTGATCAAATGTGCCACGCTATTAAACGAGGATAAACAACCAACTAAAACTTGACTCATACAGGATTGACCTTATGTTAACTACAATGTGTGATTGTGAGGATCACATCTGTTAAAGTAATTTACGCGTGCATTACGGTGCCACTCAATATGCATAAGGAAAAAGTTTGGTTTCAGTTTTCTGGGATTAGACCATTCTCTCAATTTATTACTTTGGTGTAAAAGTCAACGGCTGAAAATTTAATTTTAATCTCTTCACATTTCAAGATTTGTTTGGGATCTTCATCCTTTTCTCATCTGTATTGAAGTCCTCTAAACTATGACGATGTCTGTTGACGGTAGTGCATTTTTTTCCACTCTGTTAAGCAACCGGTACAAATTGAGGGGTTATATTTAAACTCGCAGGGGCTTCAGTTTAGCGGGAAAATTATTAAAACCAGAAGGCGGAACCTTGAATATTAACCAACTAAGATTTTCAGTGGCACCCTGATGTGCATGTCTGTAGTCAGGAATTATTTTATTTAAAATAAAACAATGCATAGTTAGTACTTCAGTATTAGAAATAAACAAAAGACTTTTCACGAATAACGTGTAAATGTTCTTAGACACAAAGATGAAGAATGGCAGTTGTACGATACGATGCAATATTATGTAAATTATCAGCAGTATTACTGTTCTATCTGCTACTGGATGAAGGCCTCCACAAGTTATTTACATCTCTCATGGTTCTATAATGCAACAATCCACATAGCTTCAACGCATCAGGCTGGTCTCATCTTTGTCCTCTCGGGCGTGTTCCTTCTTTGTGCGTAGCAGATTATCTGAATTGGTGCTGGGCCTCCGCTAGGTCGACTCAGCCTTAAATGAGTACCTTAGCGCGGTGCTGACCCCCCCCCCCCTCCCCTTGTGTGTCGTGCCGGCCTTCACAGGGGCTCACTAACAACATTTGCCCTAACAGTCTGTTCAGGCTATAAGGGGGATCTTTGTTCCTTCCTTCTGCTGCCACTCTCTCATCAGGCTCAACCATTGGCCATCACCCCACAGAGGGAAACACTTTTTGTTTCTTAACAGTCAATATGATTTATCTAATCTGCATTTGTTCTCTGATCCATGCGCTCCTCTCCTGCCTCCCCATGCTTCTTTGCACACTTTCGACCGTGTTAATTGTGTTCATCTTTGAGAGCCTTGGCACAGCAGTAAATAGTCACTCTCGACACTTTGCTTTGTCACCTTAAATGCTCAAGATCAG